ATGCGATAGTTTTCAAATTGACCCCAAACTTGACAACAATAGCTAAGATAAGATGAAAACAATGGATAGTAAATATTTCTGAGTGTAAATTTATCGACATAATGACGAATTCTTGAAGACATTGCGTTAGCTCGAGAACAGTCACAGTAAAAGGGTGAGACTCAATTGAATGATGAGTAACACAGCAATAAATTAGAGTAGATGACACAAGAGATGCTAGCTCTTTGAGCACCACTAGTATTTATTGAAAAGAGAAAAGAAGCAACATTACAACAATGTGATAATGGTTGGAGGTTGGCTGCAAGAGCAAGTTCAACTATGTTTACAATGCGTTTTTTGCACCTAGTTTAAAAAAAAAGGGAATTATTAGAAGATCCGCTCCTGATATAGCAACATTATTACATACAAGGACGGATTTAAGATTTATAGAGATAAAGAAAGATTTATAGAGATAAAGAGTTTTATTTTAATTAAAGTTCACCAGCCACTGTGAACCCCATGCTGTAGCAGAAGTGAGATCTTTTTCAAGTTCAAATCCCCCCTCCAAGCAATCAGAGAGTGTTGGCTTCTTATCAAGACAAGAGTAAATGGTAGTATCGTCAGCGAATAATGTCATCTTAGATTTGAGAATATCTAGAAGATACTTAATGTAAATTAAAAAGAGTAGTGGGCCAAGGACAAAAATTTGAGGAAACCCTGAAGTTACAGGATATGAAGATGAGTGCTGTCCATCGAGGACAACATTTATACTACGATTGGTAATGAAGGATTCAATATCTTTAAAAATGTTGTTAGAAAGTTCCAATTAATTTGTATTTGATTCATAGACAATGCAAGCTATATACATTAAATTTTCCATGTACACTACGTACATTGTACACAGCAGATGCGCTAAACTCTGATTTTTTACAAAGTGTATAAAAAATTTCCATTTAGTTTTATCACCGATAAAATTTATGTGTTAAAGGTAGCCTATTTATTTTAAAATAATCAAAACTTTCTTGTTTTTTATTTTGTTAAAAAGTATTTTAAAATTTTCAAGAGATTGAAATAAGTTATATATATATATATATATATATATATATATATATATAAATATATATATATAAATATATATATATATATATATATATATATATATATATATATATATATATATTTATATATATATATATATATATATATATATATATATATATATATATATATATATATATATATATATTTATATATATATATTTATATATATATATATATATATGTGTGTGTGTGTGTGTGTGTGTGTGTGTGTGTGTGTGTGTGTGTGTGTGTGTGTGTGTGTGTATATATATGTATTATAACTTTATTAAACACTCTCCGTAAATATGTTTACAAGGTAAAAAAAAAACTAACAAATATAGTTTAAAATCAAGTAAGAATAAAAGAAGAAAAAAATAAAATAAAAAAGGATCATTTAGGAATATTTTTTTTTAAATATTTTAAAAATTTTTGGTTGTTGCATTCCAACATTGAATTGCTAGTACTAAAATTTGAAGAGTATCTTCAAGAATTATATTTTCTGAATCCCTAACTTTAACTCTCCTCTTAACCAGCATGAAGTTTTTTATATACAATTTATGAATGTTGTATAATTCCTTTATATTATTTAAAAGGTGTGTGAACTGTGTTAAGTTGGTAATTAAGAATTTCAAAAGTTACTTCATTGTTTAAAAGGCGGAGAAATAGATTTATTTTGTTTTGCTGTATGGAAGTTGAACTTTAAATAGAGAGTTTATACAATTTTTACTACAATTTTTTACTACACAGAGACATTAAAAAATGATTTAACTGCATTTCTCTTATGTTTTTCAAATTTTTTAATTGCTAAGTCTTTATTTTCGCAGAGGTCTAGACCGTGAGTTAGAATCGGAACTGCAAAGGATTTATAAAATATCTTGGATGTGCACACCTGATTCCAGATTGAATCAGAGTTTGCACAGTTGTTTGAAAGTTTAATACTCTAGTGTCAATATTTATTCTATTAAGAATGACAAAAGTTGATTTTTTTGTGTGCCAAGTAAAACCTAGATGATTGAGTTTATCATGAGGTATAATAAAAGGGTGGGTGGTAACTTTTTACAGAACACTAACAAAATATTTTATGTCGTCTGCAAAAAGAACTTTTCTCAATTTTGAATAAAAAATCAAATTACTAAATAAAGTGGTCCAAGTATAAAACGCGTTGTATTCATAAAGAGCTCTAAGTTTCTTTAAAAATAAAGAAACTTAGAGCTCTGCTGTTTCTTTGGTATATTTTTTAAGTTCATCAGTATTTTATTAGACACCTAATAAGGTATCTGATGAAATACTGTGACTATAACTATAGTTTCGGAATACTTCTTGTACCGTATAATACGGCACGAAAAGTATTCCAAACCTATAATTATAGTCACAGTATTTCATCAGATACCTTATTAGGTGTCTAATAAAATACTGATGAACTTAAAAAATATACTAAAGAAACAGCACAGCTCTAAGTTTCTCTGTACTCATTGAATGTTTGAATGATTGAAATACTATTTCAATCATTGGTTGTACCTGAACTGCTGCTTTTTGGTACATCTACAATTAAAAAAGCAACATTTAGATTGTTCATATTTAAAGAGATCAGTTCACAACTACTACATTCTTAAAAAGAATTACTTAAAGGCGAAACTATAGTAGCCTCTTTTCCACTAATCATTATGAATTCTAACTTATGTTTGATAATAAAGGAATTAAAGACCGTTAGTTTCAAATTACTGTTCTTGAAGAAAATTTATTCTTTTGAAATAACCTCAGAACTTTCTTTTACATATTGAAATTGTTCTGGACGGCAGTAAAGTGTTAAATGGTTTTCATTAGTCAATAGTAACTCGCCAGATCATTCAATATAAAGTTTAATTGTTCCTCTACATAACTGATACCTATCTCGTCTTCTGTATTTTATTTTTATAATGATTGGATGGTTGAACCATCAAACCCTACATTGTATATAAAGACAAGAATGGATTACTCAGGAGCCTTTACAGATTGATTGAGTACTTTTAACAACTTGAATGTAGTATAATCAATAAGGCTCTATAAATCAACTGAGGCTGAATAATCAGTAGTTTGTATTCCACAACGAGGTATGCATAACTAACTTCATTATAAGTTGGATCCAATTTAAAAACTTACCATTAAAAACTGCTCCAGTGCGAAATATTTGGTTATCGGCGTTAGTCCGCAGTCCAAAATCAAAGGTAATGATTTTTCTCCAATATACATTGTTATTGAATTAACGGCACCATCTTTCTCTGATTTTAATATTTGCTTCACAACCTTAAATGTAAAAGTATAAATTTTAAGAGTATGAAGAATACAATCCACTAAGAAAATTTATCATCCGTAGATTTTTGGAATTTTTTTTTTTAATAAAAGATGAATTAAAAATGACTATAGTATAGATTTTAATGTACCTTAGCATTGCTGAACCTTTTTTCCTTTTTTAGTTTGAAAATAATTGAGTTCAACAAATCAATCTCTTCGACACCAATGTTTGATTTTTCTACTCTCCTATTCTTTGTTTTTTAGAAGCTTGGGTGAAAGGTATGGAATTTGTACTTGGGGATCTTCCGTATACAACTAATTTAAGTTGAAATATCAGATAATAGCATTTAGTATAAACACTTGCTAAAACACAATTAAATAGGAAAAAACATCATGAGTCCATTACTTTAATTTTTATGAAATATCATGCCTAAATTGTGAAAAGAAGTAGGAAAAGCCCGATTTTTGGCCATTGTTTAGTTTATCTCTTTCAAAACATGCATCGCTTGATTGTAGTTTTTTTCTAAGGGCTCGTCCATAAATTACGTCACGCAATTTTTGACCGTCCATAAATTACGTCACGCAATTTTTGACCGTTTTTGACCCCCCTCCCTGTCTCAAATCGTAACACTTTATCAGCAAGTTTTGCATGAATCGTCACAAAACCGCTAACCCCTCCCCCTTAGAGCATGACGTAATTTATGGACGACCACTAACCAGATTTGGTGATGCAACTCAAATCCTTGTGCCTGTTTACTTTATTCCATTTTTTGTTAAATTGTTAAGGGAATAATTTGAAGTTTATGTAAGAGATCCCTGTAATTTTATAAGTTAAGCATCAGGTTCGGTAAATGATTTGATTTCGTTGTTTTTCAAAGCACGAAACAATTTTTGAGTAATTTCTTTATTTTTTATAATGATCGGTAGAAGAAAATTTTAATTTAAAAATATAATTATAGTTTTTAAAAGTTTTTAAATAGTATTCGTATTTTAAATAATCAAAAACATAATCGATAATTTATTGAAATAAGTTTAAGTTTATAAATAAATAAAAAAACCACAACACTTAATAAAGTGGAATAGCATAAAATTTTATTGTTTCGCATAAAATTTTATTGTTTCCGTAATTGCAATTTATTATTTTAAGTTCTTACTTAACAATGTTGAACAAATGAAAATGACGAACGTATTTTTGAAACCTGCTAAACTTTAATTTCGCAACTTTACACAAGATATTTTTTAGAAATATTTTACAATATTGAGGCACTGTAAAAAAGTTATTCCCACATTTGGACGAAACGTGGGCGTAAAACGATCTTGAGCCTTTTAAGGTAACTTTTTATTTTGTTTTACTTTGTTGTACTTTAACTGTAATATTTAAAGTTAAGAAAAAAGTTATTAAAAACAAGATTATTTTTGTTTGTTAAGTTTTTAAAATAAAAGCATATATCTTGATATTGAAACTATACAATTTTAATTAATTCAAAGAAAACTGCGCTTACTAGGTAAAGTTCAATTTTATGACTTTTTTATGTTAAAAAAAAAAAAAAACTTTTTTTAAATGAACGAGCTTCAAAACTTTCTCAGGATTCCTAAAACAAAAATGAAAATATTAAATGACTTAAACTGATTTTTTTATTGTAGGGTATTTACTTTTAAAGTTTTGATAAAAGAATAAAGTTTCCACAAATACTCATTTTCGGCATTTATGACGACCATTGCGGGTGGTTTGGAATTTTTAACAGAACATTAACAAAAAAATTAATTCCGGCGTGGCTGGCAGTCAAATGCGCGTTATTAAACAGCTGTTTTAATATAATTCAAAAGCATTTCATATGCTTACGTAGCTTTATACTATAGTTTCATACTAAACAAAAACCTATATTTTGAAAAATCGAAATTCACGAGATTTTTCAAAGGTAGGCGATTTTCAAAGCTAACTAAAAATTTTTAAAACAAAAAATGTAATTCTGGTGTGGTCTGCGATTAAAGGCGCATTATATAACAGCTGTTTTAATAAAATTCAATAGAATTTAATATGCTTACGTAAGTTTTATACGATCATGAGAAAACCTAAATTTTGAAAAATTTTAAAGGAAGACGATTTTTAAAGCTAAGTAAAAGTTTTTAAAACTAACAAAAAATTTAATTCTAGTATGGCTTGTGGTCAAAAGCGCGTTATTTAACAGCTGTTTTAATATAATCCAATAAAATTTAATATGCTTACATAAGTTTTATATGATGGTGAGAAATAAACAAAAACCTAAATTTTGACATATCGAAATTTAAAGGTAGACGATTTTTTAAGTCTAATTTGACTGAAAGTTTTTATTATTTTATTGATAACAAGTAAAAATTAATAAACGGGGCAAGGGTTGGGGTCTTAATAAGCATGGGAAGGGTGGAAAAAAATTCTAAGAATTAATAAACACCCCCTCCAGTGTATTAAGCACCTAAGAGTAAATAGCGAAGAAGGGGGCAGCTAAGAATATTTTTTTTTTATGAATCAATTTTATTTATATTCATTTACTTTATAGATATTTATAAATATATATAAATATAAATTATATATAAATATAAATTTATAAATATTTATAAACATTTTATAAATATTTTATTTCAACCACTTTTTTTTCACTATTATTTTAAATTTCTTTAAGTTTAAGTTTTTATTTATAAAATTTTGATAATTTTTTTCTTTCTATAACAGTCTAATTTTATAATCACTCCAAGTAGAGATCAAACAAGACTTATTCAGAATAATTAAAGTATTCATAGATAAAAGCAAATACATAATAGTAGTAATAATAACAATAAAAACAATAATAGTTATAATATTAATATAAATAAACAAAAAACAAAAAAAAATACCTAATACTTAAAAAAGGTACAAGTTCTTGAGTTAACAGACATTGTTTATAATATGTGTGTAAAATAAAATTATTCCAGCTTAATAAAATTAAAATGATTAAAATTTAACTCAATATATCAAACTCTAGCTTGATTTTAGAAAGTAAGAATCTCAGATTCAGTAAGAATCTCAGATTCAGAGAATCTCAGATTCAGAGAATCTCAGATTCAATAAGAATCTCAAATTCAATAAGAATTTCAGATTCAATAAGAATCTCAGATTCAATAAAAATCTCAGATTCAATAAGAATCTCAGATTCAATAAGAATCTTAGGTTCAATAAAAGTCTCAGATTCAATAAGAATCTCAGATTCAATAAGAATCTCAGATTCAATAAGAATCTCAGATTCAATAAGAATCTCAGATTCAATAAGAATCTCAGATTCAATAAGAATCTCAGATTCAATAAGAATATCAGATTCAATAAGAATCTCAGATTCAATAAGAATCTCAGATTCAATAAGAATCTCAGATTCAATAAGAATCTCAGATTCAATAAGAATCTCAGATTCAATAAGAATCTCAGATTCAATAAGAATCTCAGATTCAATAAGAATCTCAGATTCAATAAGAATCTCAGATTCAATAAGAATCTCAGATTCAATAAGAATCTCAGATTCAATAAGAATATCAGATTCAATAAGAATATCAGATTCAATAAGAATCTCAGATTCAATAAGAATCTCAGATTCAATAAGAATCTCAGATTCAATAAGAATCTTAGGTTCAATAAGAATCTTAGGTTCAATAAAAGTCTCAGATTCAATAAGACTCTCAGATTCAATAAGAATCTCAGATTCAATAAGAATCTCAGATTCAATAAGAATCTCAGATTCAATAAGAATCTCAGATTCAATAAGAATCTCAGATTCAATAAGAATCTCAGATTCAATAAGAATCTCAGATTCAATAAGAATCTCAGATTCAATAAGAATCTCAGATTCAATAAGAATCTTAGGTTCAATAAGAATCTTAGGTTCAATAAAAGTCTCAGATTCAATAAGACTCTCAGATTCAATAAGAATCTCAGATTCAATAAGAATCTCAGATTCAATAAGAATCTCAGATTCAATAAGAATCTCAGATTCAATAAGAATCTCAGATTCAATAAGAATCTCAGATTCAATAAGAATCTCAGATTCAACAAGAATCTCAGATTCAATAAGAATCTCAGATTCAATCAGAATCTCAGATTCAATAAGAATCTCAGATTCAATAAGAATCTCAGATTCAATAAGAATCTCAGATTCAATAAGAATATCAGATTCAATAAGAATCTCAGATTCAATAAGAATATCAGATTCAATAAGAATCTCAGATTCAATAAGAATCTCAGATTCAATAAGAATCTCAGATTCAATAAGAATCTCAGATTCAATAAGAATCTCAGATTCAATAAGAATCTCAGATTCAATAAGAATCTCAGATTCAATAAGAATCTCAGATTCAATAAGAATCTCAGATTCAATAAGAATCTCAGATTCAATAAGAATCTCAGATTCAATAAGAATCTCAGATTCAATAAGAATATCAGATTCAATAAGAATATCAGATTCAATAAGAATCTCAGATTCAATAAGAATCTCAAATTCAATAAGAATCTCAAATTCAATAAGAATCTCAGATTCAATAAGAATCTTAGGTTCAATAAAAGTCTCAGATTCAATAAGACTCTCAGATTCAATAAGAATCTCAGATTCAATAAGAATCTCAGATTCAATAAGAATCTCAGATTCAATAAGAATCTCAGATTCAATAAGAATCTCAGATTCAATAAGAATCTCAGATTCAATAAGAATCTTAGATTCAATAAGAATCTCAGATTCAATAAGAATCTCAGATTCAATAAGAATCTCAGATTCAATAAGAATCTCAGATTCAATAAGAATCTCAGATTCAATAAGAATCTCAGATTCAATAAGAATCTCAGATTCAATAAGAATCTCAGATTCAATAAGAATCTCAGATTCAATAAGAATCTCAGATTCAATAAGAATCTCAGATTCAATAAGAATCTCAGGTTCAATAACAATCTCAGATTCAGTAAGAATCTTAGGTTCAGTAAGAATCTAAGATTTGCTACTTTTTCTGACTTACAGATTTAGTTGTCACTAAAAGTTTTGATTGTAGGGCATTGGAAATTTTTGACATCTAATGTACAATGGCTTTCATGATTGTCCTTAAAAAACAACAATTTTTATCATTCAGCCACTCGATGGACCACCTATCTGTATAGATTATTCACATAATCTATATAGATAGGTGGCTATAAAATATAAATAAAAAGATGAAATATAAAGACAGATGGAATAAAGTTTTTAATGGCATTTTCTTTACTGCACATAGTAATTAGCTGTCCACATTAGGCAGACACAAACTGTCTTTCTTGTTTTTTTCCAAATGGTGCTTTAACATTGGGTAGTACTTTAATTATGTGGTTTTATCATTATTATAAATTTTATCAGGAGTGAAATATTTTTTTTCAATCTTTTCATAGCTAATAATGTAAAGTATTGCATTTTATAATACAAGTATTAGCATCTTCATTCTGCTTTGTAAAGTCATTTACAGTTGGAAAAACAGCTTTAGGGCAATTCTCATGTTAGGTATGTGACTCTAGTACAAATATTTTCAATTAAAAGGAGCAATAAAAAATTGTTTACTACAGATATGCAAGATAAATATTGCAAATATTATAGTAGGAGATGTGTCTGATAATATTTATCTTGATAATATGTTTATTGCACATACTAGTAAAAGAGCTGATTAGTTGCGTTATGTGTGTGACGCATACAAAACTATAAATTAGAAAATTTTAAACTTTAATTAAATATTTCTGTTAATTAGCTATGATTAGTTTAATTATTATTATTTTTTTAATGTTAGAGACAACATGTTAATGTTTATAAAAAAAAGTTTTTAAAATTTCAAAAAATTCATAAAATTTAATAATAATCAGTATTTTTTTGACTTCTAACCGAGGTTTTTTGTTGTCTATTTACAAATGATTTCATCATTGCTAATATAGAGAATATTGGTAGCTGCCATTAATGGTTTGAAAACATTGGAAAAATTCATAGATGTTTATACACACTTTCTCATTCTTCCTCATACATTTCATTTGAACAAGAGACTTAACTCTTCTTCCAGCACCATCTACAGCCCCTTTTCTATGAAAAGTTGCAAAAAATTTCTACTCAAACATTTTATTTTATTGTAGAGATAATTGGTTGAGTAATTTCATCATAAACTTATTTTTAAATTCTGATAATGGTGAAATCAGTGAAAAGAGTTTTAGTATCATTATTACAGTTTTCAGACATAAGTATCTTATATAATTACCCAATAAAGCAGTAAACACTATCTTTGCCCTTGCCTCTAGTGTCTGAGCAGATAAGATACGTTATGCAATTATTGTTGTTGAAAACAGTATCAGTAAACAGTTGAACAGTGTTCCTAATCCACAGTGCACTTTGTACTTCATTTGGATATTCACAAATATATGCCATTACAAAATCCACCTGAAGAACTTTTTCTCCTGCAATCCCCTTATCTTTTTCAAATTCACCTGTATGAACTCTTTTTATATGAACGTGTTCCTGAAATTTAGATAAAATAATTAATAAATTCCTCTATTGCTTCTCCTATGCACTCATTTTTGGATTGTAATTATATATATATATATATATATATATATATATATATATATATATATATATATATATATATATATATATATATATATATATATATATATATATATATATATATATATATAAATAAATATATATATATATATATATATATATATATATATATAAATAAATATATATATATATATATATATATATATATATATATATATATATATATATATATATATATATATATATATATATATATATATATATATATATATATATAAATAAATATATATATATATATATATATATATATATATAATATATATATATATATATATATATATATGTTTATATTCATTATATATAAAGTATTTATATTTATATATGTATATGATGTATATATGTATTTTTATATATACATAAAAAATTACAAACAAACAAATAGTTCTGTAACTTTTTAATGTCTTCCTTTAAGTTTGCTTTAAAGGGGATTAGCAAACTTTAAAACAAACTTAAAGGAAGACATTAAAAAGTTACAGAACTGTTTGTTTGTAATTAATTATAATTTTTGCAATTAAAGCTGAAGAGTATAAGCAAAAATCTATCAAAAGTTTCTTAAAATTTTGCTCATATATTAAACTAATCCAACACTTGTATAAGATGTCAACATTTAATATATATATATATATATATATATATATATATATATATATATATATATATATATATATATATATATATATATATATATATATATATATATATATATATATATATATATATATATATATATATATATATATATATATATATATATATATATATATATATATATATATAGAAATAAAAAGAATTTTTTGTTTTTGTACTTCAATACTGGTGTTTAGTAATAGCAAGTAAATGTAAAATCCACATTGGATCTTGTTGTTATGAAAAGTTTCTTATAAATGTCTATAAACTATAAACAGGTTGTTAAAAGATTTTTTAAATATATTCTTTATTATTATAAAGTATATTATTAGTGTGTTTTTACAATGCTAGTTTTCAATTTTAAACAGTTGTATAACTGTGGCAAGCCTTCTGTGGAAAGACATTAGACAGGTAAAATGAAATGTTCACCTGTATTGTTTTGATATTTTTTCATAGTAATTGTTAGTGATAAAATAATTGCTTTGTAAATGAGAAGTTTTTCAATTCTAGCTTTATCAGTTTTATCAATTTAATTTTAATCACATTGTTGGTAGTACCATACTAATCTTGTTTCTCAATGCTGCTGTATTTTTTGTTGAGGTCAGCATTTTTAAGTTATAGTATTAAGAGTGATTTATAATTTCTGAACTTCTTATATTTTCAATTGAAATTTTTTTATTATATTTCCTTATGAAATTTATTAATTCCTAAATAACTTCAGGGTTTTGAAACTCCGGAAATTTTGTAAAAATAATTTATCCTCGGCTCTTTGTTTTCTCATCTCAGAAATAATTTTATAACTTTTAGAATATATTGTCAACTTCTGCTGGGCTGTAGATTTCAAAAGGTTAGTTTTGTATATATATATTTTTTTAGTTTATAAATTTCTTTAGAAATTTTTGATAATTTTAAATTCTTTTTGCTGTAATAGTTACTTATGGATACACACAGGAAACGCGTGCCCATGCACACACAAACAATATTTTTGGTAATTTAAAAAATCACTTTCTTATTCAGCATGTTTTTATCTAGGAGAAATGATTGTTCCTCATGTGTGAGAATCTTTGCATAGTTTGCGATGATTCTTCTTCCTGATGTTTCATTAGTGCACAAAAGGTGTTCACTTCCTGGTAGAACTCAGTGCAGTCACCAGATCTATATTAAATTAATAATTTATCAAACCTTAAAAAGGTTACAAGATACTAGCAAATCAAAAGAAGCCTAAAACAGTTTTTTGTTTGCGTGGATTTTTGGATGTAGAAAACAAATCCAAATGGTACCTTTTTCTCCAAGTAAATTTGATGCCATTTTATAAAGCTCCTGTTCCTGATTTTAAATTTTGAATTCCAAGAATCTTTACTTGTAGACAGTCTGAGCTGTTTTCCAAAAGAAAAACAGTAACAGGGTGGCCACAGCTCCTCTAAAATCCTCTTAAGTCCTTCTTTTTTAAAAACCTCCTCTAAAATTCTCTATTATCCTCTAAAAAGTTGAAAATATGATTGAATCTTTAACTCCTCTTCTTAATTTTTTTATTTATTGATGGTAGTACAATTTGTGTATTTAAAATACCCATTGTATACCATATAATGGGTATTTTAAATACCCATTATATGGTAGTATAATGAGTATTTTAAATACCCATTATATGGTATTATAATAGGTTTTTAAGATTCCCATTATACCCATTCCCGGTCAGCAAAACTGGTTAAAGTGCATCAAAATGCCTTAAAGTGCATCAGATTTATTGTTTTGATCTATTAACTAAATAATTTTTAACTTAAGTAACAGTTAACTGTTGTATTATCTCTTGATATAATGATTTTGTTTATTTTATTGTTAAATTGAATTCCTTCAAAATAAATTCATTTTTATTGTTTTATTGTTGTTAAAACATTATTTGGACTTTTTATATGTAACATAATAAATTCTTTCATTGTTTCTTGAAAAAATTTTATGCAAAATGTTTTAAACATTAAAAATCACTATTTAAAGCTATTAAATTTTTATTTTCTTATTTTAATTTTCTATTCGTTTATTTTTCTTATTTTTATTTTCTTATTATTTTCTGTTTCTTATTTTTATTTTCTATTCATGTTTCCTGCGAGTGCTTTTGATTATAGTAGGCAAAAAAAAAAAAAGTTTTTAATCTTTTTTCTGGTGGATTTTTATGGTGAAACTTTTAACTTTCATATGAAATAAGATTTTTTTTAAATTTTTTTGTAGTTAAGTTTATTAAAATAATAGTGATAGAATAAATTAGAATAAATATTCTATTTATTTTTTATAAGCTAAAATAAATTAATATTATCTAATGATAAGACGATACAAGACCATATTCAATCGATCAAACATGGGGTGGAAGTAGGGGTGTTGTTAAACAATACTCCATTATTAATTATTAAAATTACTTCTTTTTATGGAAACATTTTAAATAGCTTAATTTTTATAAATTTTAAGATGATTCAACTATCTAATCATTTGGTAATATAGATTTGACCAGATTTCTTTTTGCCAAGATAAGACTGGTATTTTAGTTGAACCAATACATATAGAATATACTTCAAAACAGTTTATTAATTTTTATTAACCTGTTTTGAACCAATGATTATCTTAAACATGGTTATAAAATTGAATAGTTTTATTATCATTGTGTTTAAATTTGACAAGCTTTGAACCCTAGATTGCTTAAAATGAAATTATGTCTAATAAAATTCTTGTACATTCCAAGTGAATTTAAAACATTTAAACATTTGAATTTTCGTATCACCTTAACAGATACTATGACTAACCCCTGTTATTAAAAAAAATATATCCTGGGCTAACCTCTGTTTTAGAAGATTATATATTTTTTTAGCAGAACTATTGAAGCTCAAAATAACATATGTAACCTTAAAATATTATTAAATTATCATAGGTTATGATTGCTACTAATTTTTGTTTCTTGGTTATACTTCTATCATTAAGAAATAGATGAAATGACCAATAATCAATATAATACTTTAATATGATCTATATAAACCAAAAAATGGTTTTCATAGATTATATTGATATATTATGGTTTGGTATAACACAATAGCTTCTAGACAAGAATGTTTGATGTTCAGTTTATTAAGTAATGAATGGCTTGAGTTTTTAATATTTATAATTTTCATTAAATTTTAATTTTTTCGATTTTTCCCACCTTGTATGCTAACACATAGTTCAAAGCATAGCAAACCAGCCAAGTGAGCATGTGACCAGATTAGTGGTCAGACATTTGCACCAACAATAAAGTGTAAATAAATTGTCACAAAAATTTTATTTTTTTATACTTTTTTATTCAATAATTTTCGTTCAATAATAGTTCATATTTTCACTTCTATTTTTGTTTCTGATGCTGATATTCAACTCTATTTCAGTTTTCATTCTTCAAATAGTTCCTAATTTCAGTTTTCATTTACACTAACAAAATTGATTATTTTTATTTCAAATTTTACTTAATGTTAATTTAAATATCACTGATATATAAAAAGGGGGCATGTTATGTGAATTTTTGCAGGACATGTCCCCTGTTTCAAGTTTGCGATTCATATACTTGTTATTTATGTTTCTTATTTATATTTTGATTTGCTCATTGACATTGAAAATTTTTTAATATTTTTTAATTAATTTTTTTTTAGTGTTAAGTTGTTCAAGAATCTTTATAATGAGAACTAATTTTAAAAGACTGTTATTAATAGTTGTTCTTGCTATGGTATATTTTTTGATTAACATAAATACTGAAGGGTTTTACATGATGCGTTCTAAAGGCCGTTGCAACAACACTATGGCTGAAATGAAAGAATTAAGAGAGCTTATATTAGATACTCATTATCTACTAAATTTGTTTAAAGTTACTCACTTTCTGGCTTATGGAAGGTAAACATATTTTTTAAATTTTTTATTTTTTACTTGTTTTTATTTGTTGGGTTTTTATTAACTCTAACTTGTTCATGATTTATTTTTTTTTTAATTTTAAATGGAATTCACCTTCCAAAGGCCATAAGGGCCACTACAGGTCAAGGAGCCTACTTTATTGTGATAACCACCGTTCCTCAATTCATTAACTCCGAAACATGAACCTTGACAAACAAGGCTGCTAGGCAGAAAAAAAGGTGAGCGGGGTACTATACAGGACTTGGTGGAGATTGAACTCATAACTTCTTGGTTTTAAAACAAGTGTACTATTACTACCTCATATCATTTCTCATTCTTTTGCTTAAACTCTTTTGGTCATTAGCACATTTGTCAATTATAAATTGATCAATCATAAAAAGTCAATTGTTTTATCTTGCCCTGGTACTTGGTCCAGGTGACTTCTGCAAGTCTTACAAGAAAAAATTCTTCAATTTTAAATAGTATTTACTTTAAATTTTATTTAAAATTGTTTAAAATAACCTTATCTTCAAGATAGAATATGTATATTTATAACTTGAAAAGTATAGTTATAAATATAATAAAAAATAATCATAATAGTAATATAAAAATTATATAAAAAATCTTTAAATTGTTGAGAAATGAGAAATAGCAAGTTATTAATTGAATATTATTAAATAAAATAAACGCTTTAAAAGTTTTATTCAATTATTTTATGGCTGTGAAACATTTTATATATTTTTTTGTTTAGACCACCTATTTTTTCTTTTTTTTTATTAGGCTAGCCTTATTATTTGGTCAGCCTTTGTACTTTTAGACTTAATATCACTATTAATAGTAGACAAAGTCTCATATCTATTGTTTGTATAGCAGTTGGGTAAGGTGTAAGATCATGCTTTTATATCCTTCTGTATAGCAGTTGGGTAAGGTGTAAGATCATGCTTTTATATCCTTCTGCATAGCAGTTCGGTAAGGTGTAAGATCATGCTTTTATATCCTTCTGTATAGCAGTTGGGTAAGGTGTAAGATTATGCTTTTATATCCTTCTGTATAGCAGTTAGGTAAGGTGTAACATCCTTCTGTGCTGTTATTATTTTATACACAGTGTGTAAAAATGGATTTTATGTTTCATGTTATCATGATATCACCTCAGAAATTTGACAAGATGCATACAGGTTTTTGTGAAAATTTGACAGGTTTTTTCAAAAATGTGTTTGGAATTTGCAAGGGTTGCATTTTTTTAAGCTGCAATCAAAATTTAGAATAAGTAATTAGTTATAAAAAATAAGTTAATTTGTGTTTAAAGTTTAACAAATTAAAGTTGCAAACAAATATCAATTATAAAGAATTTTGGTCAAAATAGCTTAATTGTTTTTAAACTAAAAACAAATTTTAAAAAGCTTTTAAATAATTATTACCATTAACTGTATTTTGTATTTTTTTCGTAACTATTTTCAAAAAATTTATACTTTTTCTAAATAGCAAAAGAAAAAAAAAGAACAAAAATCCACACCTCGACTTAAATTTAAAAAAACATCAAAAGAAAACAATTAGATGAGAATCAGATAGAGAATCAATCAGAGAATGAAGGATCATCAGTTCTCATGACTATGATCAATGCTTCTGATTGATGCTTGATGAGCATGTCTTTTTTTAAAAACAGTACCTTTTTGATAAGCTCTTTTGTAAATCTTTATATACCAAGAGTTTTAAAATAGTTTTTTTGTAAATCTTTATATACCAAGAATTTTAAAATAGTTTTTTTGATTCCAGCCTGAGTTTGTTTAGCTTTACAGTCTGAAATAAAAGGAAAATTTTGAAATCCTGGAGTAAAAGAAATGATGGAAATCAGTTAAATACTTTTGCTGCTCAGAATATTGTTTATGATTTATTATTAGTCAAGATTAAGTATGAAAGTTATAACTATAAAATTTATTCCCATTTATAAATATGATGGTAATTCTTCCATGTTTTTTTTTTTTTTTTTACATAATGAAAAAAGGTTGATGTTCTGACATTAGCCAACCGGTTATAATTAAACACAAATAAAACTTGCACTTTGGGTTGGTTGCTAAACATTTACACGACTTTGTGCAAAAAACATTTACGACAGCACCAAGTGTTTTGTTTTTGTTTGTTTTTTTAGTTTTAGAGTGGGAAAATTCACTACAATAATTTTAAAACTATTTTTAAAACTTCAAAATAATTTTAAAGTAATTTGTAAGATGTAAGGTGTATGGATTTTTAAAAACATAGTGCTTTAGAATTGCACTCTTAAATATTTTAATCAGGATATTATAATTTTGATGGAGACGAATTATAATATCCTGATTAAAATATTTTAAAACGAATGGAGATGTATATGAATTGTCATTTTAAAATTTAAACATCCTTCTGTGCTGTTATTATTTTATACACAGTGTGTAAAAATGGATTTTATGTTTCATGTTATCATGATATCACCTAATCTTCTGCTACACTAATTTCATTATATAATTGTTTATATATTTTAATATAATAATTTACTTATATATTATTTAAAATTATATATATTTATTATTTTTTGTATGTTTTTGCAGTGGTAAAAAGTTATGTGTTATCCATGTGCCTGGAGCACAACTGGGTGAGCTTTTGTTTTAAATTAATGAAAAAAAATTGTTTCTTCTATTTAAATAGCCAACCACGACAGTGCCCTTGGGCTCCCGTTTATCAATTTTTTTTAAGTAATATTTTATACAGGGGTGAAAGTCAAGTTTTAATAATAAAGTCGATGGACTAAATTATTAATTTAACAATAATAAAGGAAATGGACTAAATCTTTTAAACTTCAAATAAATAATAAATTATATAAAATTAAACTTTATTAAATTATTAAACTTAAAAGTTGATAATTATTACAAATATAAGAATTAAAGTTCATATATTTATAATACAGGAATAAGAGATTAAGTAATGCATTTATGTTGCTATTTTATGTGTATATTTAATTTTTGTTTTAGTTTATGGGGTGCTTTAAGATATAATGACATCATACCTTGGGATTATGACTTTGATTTTGGCATAGTTCAAGAAGATATTCAAAGTTTAGATGTAAATAAACTGACAGATGCCTTCATTAAAAAAGATATAATACTGGAGTACAGTGCATATGGCGGGTTTTATAAAGTACGTAGATATAATGTGTCTGGGGATTTGATGGTATTTTCAGAATACTATCAAGATGGCATAATGCGTAGAACTGGCTTTGAATCGTGGATATTTTTTATTCAGTATAGATGGTATCACCAGTTTCCCAGTTATTTAATTAAAAAACCTTTGCCTTTGCATCGGTTTATAGGAAAAGACCTTCCTGTACCTAGAGATGGAATTGAAATACAAAAACACTTTTATCCTAACAATTGGTGGAAAGAAACTATTCCAGAAGGTTGTAATAGAAAATCTTTAGTTGTACAAACAGGGCAATAATCTTATTATGATAAGTCTTATAATCTTTAACAGACATATATATATACACAGTGCCGTGGCTAGTGGATTGGAGGCTCTTCTCAAAACCTGTCATTAGGAGGGTTCCAAAGTAAAAAAAAAAATTTCACTAGTTATTTCTAAAAAAAAAAAAGGTGCTCCATCACTGGCTCCCCTGCTCCAATTGAAGATATGGGGTAGCCTAGCCACGGCTCTACATTTACAATTCAAATTCAAAAAAGAAAAAGTTGTACATTAACGATTTTTTTAGTTTTTTATCTTAATACTATTTAATAATATTTTCTTCAAAATCTTTTTAAATTTTAAAGTTCTTAAATGTTAAGTTTTTAATATTTTATTTATTATATATACATTTTAATTAATTTATTTTTTAAGTTAAATTTTTAGCTTTATTTATTTGAATACTTTATTTAAAGTAACGTTTTTAATCTTTTTTAAAAAAAGTATCTTATGTTAAATTTTTTTTTAACACTGTTTTTTATTTTGGTACAGCAGCTATAGCTCTACACTTTCGTATAACTTTGAAAATCCTAAAATTTATCTTGTCAAATACCAATTGAGTTAAAAGATAAGTGTCAAGTCGACACTTATCTTTTAATGTGCTGAAAATCTGTTCCTTCATTCAACAGTTTCATATATCCATAATTATTCAAATGACATCAATATTTAAAAAAAAAATGCTTTAACTTAATAATTTTTTATTTTTGCGTTATGAGATAATTTATGGGATAATTTATGGGAGGCCGGAGCTAGTTGCCTGATTTTTACACTTAGACTTTTGTAGCCCTAACGGCAAATTTTATTATGAATATTATAGCGTAGTCTTAAAGAGTTCAATTTTAAATTATGAATTTAAGTAACATTTTTAACGTGCACTCATAATGAATGCAAGTTTAAAAATGAAAAAAATTTATTGGGGCCTTTCTGGGCCTTGATGATTTAATTTAACCTTAGAGTTTTCCCTCAGAAAAGCCAGAAATTATCCGGAACCATCCTAATTTACTGTTTCATGCTACACAGTCAGGGCCGGCGCGAGTAGGTGTCACGTGGGGGGGGGGGGGGCATTAAAACTTTTGCCGACTAAAAAAAAACCATGCCATGACGACATTTGCCGACTGTCTAGATTACCGACTAACCTATATCGAAAGGGTAGACATTTGCCGTCTAACTAATCTAAAAGGGTCCAATTTGCCGACTAAAAATCGTTGATGAGTGTGGGAGGGGGGGGGGGTGTCACACCCCCCTATCGCGCCGGCCTTGTACACAGTATAGTAAAGAAAAAGCGATGATCCCAAAAAATTTTGGAGCATCGCTTTCTTTTTACTTAACTTAAAAATAAGTTTTTCTTATAAAAAAAAAAAAAGGCTTTCCCAACTTGTCAATATTGCAACACACCTAACTCGTTAGTAAGTCATATCAAGGGAAGAAGTCATCATTTTCATTAAAACAAGCTGTGTCTGCTTTGTTCAAAAGATAAAATTAAAGTAAGTAAATGCACAAAACTTGGATATAAAATGCATTAAACTTCCCTTTCTGTACAGTTAATAATAAAATCACAATCTTAAATATATGAAGGGAATAAAACTATAACAGCACATCACAAAATCGATTTTTGTTGATTATAAAAACAATATTTGTGCGCAAGGGACGCATTTTTACTAAAACTATTGTTAAGTCAGTATAGTCATGTAGGTCTCATCACTTTTTCACCAAAACCAATTTTATGGATATATGACCAGTATGCCATCATAGGCGCCTTTCCCCTAATATATAGTGCAAAATTTATATAAAAAAACTTTTACTATTTCCTTTGGCAACAATTTTAACCCAAAAATTTAATGTTACTTTTAACTGGTACCAAATATTAGTTTAACAACTCGGTGTAGATTTATAAGTTATTCGAATGTTAAAAAAAGATCAAAACAGTTCATATTATTACTGCCGTAAATTGGCAAAAGGAAGCATGTTACATTATTACCATAATATGTGTTATGATGTTTTTCATGAGAGGAAGCATGTTGCTATTATAGCAACATGCTTCCTCTCATGTATAGCATGTTGCTATTATAGCAACATGTTTCCTCTCATAAAAAATATCATAACACATATTATGGTAATAATGTAACATGCTTCCTTTTGCCAATTTACGGCAGATTAAATTATGACGTTCATTTTACCTGAAAAACGTATTTAAAATCTTATTCAAATTTGGACAAGCGATTGGGATTTTAAAAAGATTTTATTTTTAAAAAAAAAGAATCTTTGGTCTGTTTTTTTGCTATAAACATTTACATTTTATGATACAGCAAAATTTATCATTTAATTTTTTTCGTCTTTTCGTAATCCACAGACCTGATCATTCAACCGAAGTATGTCGTAGTCAACAATATATCATACGTATGATATTATATACGTATGACATTATATGATATTATAGCGTCTGTATATACAGACGCTATAATATTTTAAAATTGCTTTAACAATTTTAAAACTATTTAAGTTGCTGATACAAAACGTATCTAAACTAAAAAGTAGATATGTTTTGTATTAGCAGTGACAAATTAAATGAATTAAAAAGTTATTAAAAAAAAAAGATGAGGATTACATAAAATAATAACACAGTATTTGAAAAAAAGTAAATGTATTTGTTAAATAAGATTTATATTGCTTACATTCAGTTCCATGGTAAGAATAAAATTTTGAAAATTTCGGCAAAAAAACCAAGCATATAAGAAGTCTAGAATTACCAGAGTCAAGAATATAAGAAAAGTAATCTTATCTATTATTAATATTTTAAAGCAAGAAGGCAGGTCAAAAGATGTCCAACTTAAAGATCAAATGCTAAAAGCAGTCAGATAGGTCGTGCTCACCATAAGTGAGCAAAATAATAATGGGAACACTCCTAAAAATGCTTTAGCCATTTTACTGGATTGTGAGTTAACTAAGCAGAACTACCAAACACTGAAGAATAAGGCTATGACTGTTGCGTCCAACATTTACCCTATTTTCAATTCTTTAAAAGATAAAAAAATAAAGGCATCCCAACAGAAACAAAAATTGTAGTGTCAGACTATTCAGCTGAAGTAAGTCTTCAAGCGTTTTTAAATCATGCAGCCTCTCGTTTGTGCTGTTGCAAGAAGAAGTAATTAAATAATTTGATCTAGCATCTCTAAATGGCTTAAACTGCAACGCAAAATTGGATTTAATACTAGTACTGAGCAGTCCAAATACAAGCAAATTACAATTGGTGGTGAAAGACACCTTGAAAGTAAACAAAGTCTCTTTTTCCAATGCCCTGTTTTATTTAAGTTATCTTGTTTTATTTACTGTAAACAAATAGTTTGCTACAACCATAAGTAAAGTTGAAACCATAAGTAAGTTGCTAAAACCATAAGTAACCTTCAAAACTAATGTCGTTTTCACTTTGCTTTCAAACCAAAAATTGGATAACCAGAAGTGGCAGAAGCATAACTCAAATAAAAAGTTATCTGTGATAACAAACAAAAAAAGAATACTTGAAGCTCTTATAAGTCGTCTTGGATTACTTATTGATGTGCCCAGATCTGGTGGTTCTGACGCATCCAAAGATGGAAGTACAGTTCATTGGTTTTTAAATCTGTGTTGAGGTTGAAATTTTAAAGTTGGATGTACTGCTGCTGAAAAAGTTGAATGTTATCTAGGCCACATCAGCTCTGCCAATTAATGCAAATGAACTTCAAAAGTACTGCCTGGAAGTTTATTTATTTGTAAATATTGTTATAATACTAATCTGTACTGCAAACTCAGCTTTTGTAACTATATGATTGATTTTCTTTTTTAGATGACTTATTTGTTGATACAGAAATACATGCCAAAAGGTTTGCACAAGACACTATTACACGGACACGGGATTGTGAAGAGAATGGTCTTGCCTATTTAGGTGCCCTAAGATATTTAGGTGCCCCAAGAAGTCCTTAAGGTCTTAGCACGGAGCACCACGGATGAGCATTTAATTGGAAGTTTACGCCTCCTTCCTAACAGAAAAACTAGCAAAACTTGCTCTGGTTTGAACCACGGATCCTTTGTTTCTGAGGTAAGTACGCTATTACTGCGACAAGGCTGCTCGATCCATAGCAACTAAAATAAAATTATCCGTAGCAACTAAATTACAAAAATTATCACTTTTCTGTAATGTGCGACCCAGGATTACCATCTGGTTTTTTTCAAGCCAAATTTCTCAAATTTGGTTGTTTTTTTTAGGTTTTGCATGAAATTTCTTTACTGGTTTACTTTAGAAAATCTTTTTTTAGAGTGTTAGGTTTCTTTTTTCTTTCTGGATTTTTTTAAAATAAATCTGGTTTAATTCTGGTTTATTTTTTGTTAAATCAATTTAATCAAGCTTTTTCGTTTCATAAAAAAAGTGAAATAAAGCGAAATAAACAAAAATGAATGAAAAGAAAAAAAAGAACGAAAATGAGTAAATAATTTTTTTTTCTTTATTACAGCTCATTAAAGAAATTCAAAGAATGGAATAAACTCTCACGCGTGAGTTTAAACAATTTATTTATGGTTTCGTTCCACGCTTTTAAAATTCCATTGATCTTTCTTTACAAAGTTTTTTTTCAATAAATTTATTGATTGGTAAAAAATATTAAAAAATTCTTTTAAAAAGACGTTTTAAAGTAAAATACTTAATAAAGGTAAAAAGGGTTTTTTAATGTTTTGCGGATATTGAAAATTTACCAACTATTACTAGTGATATAGCTGTTATTATTTCAATAACAACAATATCATCTATTTTTTTCCTCTTAAAATTAGTTTATTATTCTGTTGCTTATACTTGATTTTTTGTTTTAGATTGACATTTAAATTGCAGAGCCCTAACCACAATTTTCATATAAGGGGGCCCATATTACATGTTAAAGACTTTTTTATTTTTTTATTTTTTTATTTTAGGGGCCCAGAGATAGGGAGAGGCTTAAACATAAGGAGAGGCCCAAACATAGCAGAGGAAAGGCTCTACAAAATATAAGTTTTTCCCTAATATTTATAGTTTAATAATTTTTTTTTTTTTTGGGGGGGGGGAGGGACCTGGACCCTGCCCCCCCCCCTCTCTCTTTCCTTCCCGGTGGTTATGGTTTTGAATTGACAATGCCAAACAAAAAATCATATGAAAACTCTAATGCCTCTTCACAAGCTTTTTGTCGCCTCTGTCGCTTTAAGCAACATCAAAAACGGCTTCACACATTAAAAGAAAAAAAACTTTGAATCCGTTTTAAAAAAAGATTAATTTTCCGGGTCAATTAAAAGTTGCAGATCTAAACAAAAAAGCAGACATTCAGCTTGCTATGTGTGTCACTCAGCAATTTTAACTGCTGACCATTTGTGTGAAATTATTTCTAAGTTTGGTGTAGGCAACCTCTATTTAAAACTCCGCTTCACTAAGTGCACTAAATTAGTCCAGAATGTCATTTTATCAACTCTAGAAAAAGAAAATTCTAAAATAATCAAATTAAAGCCATTTTACATCCTCATTGATGAATCAAACGGATGCGAGTTTAATCAAACACCTTGCAATATGTGTTATATTTTTCAGAAAAAGAGAAACAGATTGCCAATAACTTTCTTTTACGTGTATGAAAAGTATTTAAACTCATGAAGCCAAACAATGAACGCGTGGGAACCCCTTCAGCATTTTAGAGGTTTTCTGCAACTCGTTTATTGGTTCGAGGAAAGTGTTTTTATAACTTGCTAGTGAATTAGCAAAAACTAAAAGCATTTTTTATTTGAGCTGAAAAAAAAATGCTCCAAGACAGCATCCTGCACCTCTATATTCTCTAGTCTATCAAGAGTTTGAGCGCCTAAACTATCTTATTTAAGGGTCAAATATTGATTGAGAAAATCTAATGAATGAGCTAAATATGCATCTAAAAAGCTTGAAGAGGCGTGTTTTTTGATACCAAAGTCTTTATACTCCCTATTCAGTGTGTCGATCAAGGGCAACCTCCAAATGTAAAACTGAATGCTGAAGAATCCATTAAAACTGTGAAAGTTCGCTGTCATGATTTTTTTCAGAGGGCAATAACCGAACGTAAAAAATGACTTCCAGAAAACAGATCAATTTTTCACGGCTTGTCAAATCTGTATGATACTTCCATGTAATATTTTCATCAATGTAAATGCCTAAAAATCTTGTGACCGACACATTTTTTATTTCAATTTTATCAATAAAAATTTTAGGTAAGTTATCTGGTAAAAAACCCTTTTTTGCGAGGAAAAGGATCCATTTTGTTTTGTCAATGTTTAAAGTTAACTTGTTGCACTTGAACCAGTTGGAGATGCGATTGAGTTCTTTATTCATATTTGAAAAAAGCTCATAAATGTCACTGTTTGACAGAAATAAATTACTATCGTCCGCAAAAATGATACTCATAAGGTTAGAAGCTTTATTTAAATCATTTATATAGACTAAAAACAAAAGTGGCCCTTGTTTTTATAGTTTAAAATGAATTTAATAGAACCCTGTTCAACACCACATTTTATGTCAATCAATTTTTCATTTTGAAATCTCCATAGAAAAAAAATTGTTTTCTATTTTTCAAGTAACTTTTATACCATTTTATTAATTTACCATTAATTCCGTAAAATTTGATTTTTTTAAGTAGAATTTTGTGATCGACCGTGTCGAATGCTTTTGATAGGTCAATGAAAATACCTTGTGTATATTGTGATCTACCAAATGAATTGAAGATTTCACGAATGAACTGTGTAATAGCTTGTTCATTTGAACAAGCTATTACACATTTTTTTTAAAATCGAATTGATTTTTATATAGAAGTTTATTTAGATTAAGGTAATTGAATGTTTTATTGTATATAATTCTTTCTAAAATTTTTGCGAAAGTTGAAAGAACTAAGATGGGGCGATAATTACTAATATTTGATTTTTTTTCGTTTTTGTATATAGGAGTAACTTTAGCTAATTTTAATTGGTCGGGGAATACACCTTGCTGTATAGATGCCCTTAAGACTTTATATAGAATACATTAAGTTTTTCAAAGTAGTCTATGACTATGTTGCCATTTATTTCGCCGGGTGATGTCCTACCTTCAATAGTTAAATCAATAAAAATTAGTTTTTAACGCGTCAGAATCAAACGGTTAGAATCTAACGCGAACATTTCCTTATAATTTATTTTATTTAAGTAAAACTATTTTTAAAAATGTTGCTATGAAGAAATCTGAACAAAATAGAGAATTATGTGCATAAAGATTAACTTAATAAACATTTGTTATGATATAACATTTTATATATTTTAGGTAATTTTGAAACTGTGAAGAAATACCCACTTTTTTAAACGTTTTTTAATACAGTAGAAAACATTTAAAAAGTGGATTTTTATTCATAGTTCAAAATTAATTAAAATATATACCATGTTATATAATAACAAATGTTTATTATGTTAACAAATATAGACTATATTCCTAATAAATTCTATAACTTTGCTAAAATGTCCATCATTAATTTACAACACCTTTGCTTATATTTGAACCAGAAACACTAAGAGTCCATTATTTTCCTTCATGTGTGCAATAAATATTGTACTAAATCATGAAAAATTTTCAGAGACTCTAAAGATCAAAGAGTTCATCAATTTCAAATTAAACAATAATTACATTAGCAATAATATATGTAATAAAATATGTAATAGTCATGCAATGATTTCAAATTTTGGAAGTATTCATAGATTATTACACATTTTGAACAAAATTGTAAAAATAAGGTTTTTGACAAACATTTTAATATGAGAATTAAACATAAAATCCGCCAAGCCAGATATTTCATACTACTATTACTTTGCATTATTTGACGGAGGAGTTAAGAAACTTTTGTCTTCTATTAAAATTAATTATTTATTCGTAGTTCATAAGTATAAAAATATAATATATTTAAATAGCAAGTCTCAATTTGGTTCATAAGTTTAAAAACTAAAAAAACTGGACTCGTTTTTCATCGAGTCACAAATGCAATATTAACTTGAGATAAAAAAGACAGATTTGTAAATTGAAAAATAGTTTATTTGAAACTCGTCAGCAAAAATATTTTGCGCTTTATAAACAAAGTTTGTACTTTAATTTAAATGTTTTTTTTTAAGTTATCAAAAGTTTCTTACCAAATTTTGTAGAGTTGGTTGGTCAAAACAAATAATAAAAAATATGTTTGTAAAAAACGTTTTCTCCAAAACTTTAATTTTGAAGCCTACCATTTATTTGAAAATAAACTTCTCGAATTAAATTGGCGCATCATCTTGAACCAAACAGTAAATGGAATATCCTCTTTTAAAATATCAGTGCATAAATATGCTCGATTTTTTTCAGAATACTTCTTGATTAAAGTGTTTGATACATCAGTAGTTTTATATAAAGTACAATGATTGACTAGGCTTAAGTTCCATTCCCTTAATGTCTTCACGTCAGTGTAAAATTCCGGAGGGCTTGTTTTTACCTTTACCCAGAAGGTTTCGTTAAAGTGTTTATAAATTGCTGCGTCAAGCTTGTTCCAATTTAAAACTTTTTTAGTTGCGTCATTTATGTTATTGGTGTTTTTGTCTTTAAATTTTCGTGCATTGTGAACAAAAAAAACAACATCTTCTAACTCCCAATTCAACTCATTTTTCAACAAAACCAAAGACTCTTCCATGTATTCCATGATCATAACCAGATGAAAGTCTTGCGAAATAGAATTTAAAACTTCATTTATATATTCGGGTGTTTCGTTCCATACGTCAAAACCTAAATCAAACGCATTTGGGTTTTTAGCTAATGCAAATGAGCCTTCTCCTTCTAATAAATTTACAGATTGAAGAAAAGACTTTAATGATTCTTCTGGGATTTTGAAAAATTCGTCCAACAATGGCAAGATGCCACTAAGATTGAAATATTTTTTGAAATTTAAATATTGAACTGCAGAATCAAACTGGGAGTAGGGTTCTCTAATTATTGTGATTATTTTAGTACCAGGATCCATTACTTTTAACATTTTTTCTTTGTAAAACACGGCGTGGTTGAACAGCATATTGTATGTGTTACCTTTAGTGTGTAAAAATAGAAGATTCTTGTCAAATTTTTCAGGGTAACAAAATCTGTGTTCACACTTAGGCAAAGCAACATTCAGTTTATTTGACTTTGAATATCTTTGCATAATGTTGGTTATTGTAGATGAACCTGTTTTATGTGTTTTTAAAAAAATCACGCTACGTTGAGCATTCTTTGAAATATTTGCCACATTTTGAGGTGGTGTCGTAAAATTCTTTCTAAAAAGAAAGTCATAAACAAAATAAAAAGTTGCGCTTACGTCAAACGTAAAGAAGTTTATATATAAAGCGCTCACCTTTTTTACTCTCAAAGGGCAATGTTTATATATCGTGAGGTTAGAATAAGAGGATTCTATCTCCCTATTGTAATGTTAAGAGAATTCAACAAAATTTCTTACATTCTCCTAGATTTTTAAAATTTTGGACTTTAAAATTTTAGATTTTAAAAATTGAAAAACAAAACTTAACAAAAGATAAAAACGAATTTAACAATTAATAATTTAAAAGATTCAAAAATCAAATTTGTTAAACTGATTGCTCAGAATGCATATTATTTATTATTATTTAAATATAGATTGGTATAAGACTAAGTAGTATATCATGACGAAAAATTATAATGCTCTATCTCTCATTTTTTATGATCATATTTAACTTTTTGGTTTTTATTTGTTATATTTTTAACATAACACTACAAAATAGATATAGACTATTATTCTAAGATCATGGTATATGAGAAGCATTTTCTAAGGGAAATTACTTAATAAGTAACTATACTGTTATATATTTAATTTTTTAAATTTTACATTTAGGGTTAACTTCTTTCAAAAGTCTAACTTTTTTAAAAACAATTCTCATAAGTTAAGCTATGAGTCGATTAACTAAATAAAGCTTTAAGTATTTATCACTGTATTTAAATTTAAAACTGACCTATGATATATTAATCTATATTAGCAATAAATGAACACAACACTATAAACACAACAGCTACAGAACTTTTACACAAAACATGTGCATTGACATTTTTTTCTGGTATTAAAGACACCATCAGAAATATTAATGGCGACTATTTTACTGATCATAGCGTTCCAATGGAATTTGATTACGAAAGTGCAAGTACAGATATTTTGGAAAAAATGAATTTACTAACAGACTCCAAAGATATAACTATTGGTGATGAATTTATCAGTAATTTAAACTAAATAATGGTTACTAACTACGAAATTACCGTTTATGAATATATAAAAAGATTTGTTATCACCTTCTTCATAAAAAAAATATAAAAAGATATGTTAATACCTTATGACAAACGGTTTTATCTCTCACTTGCCTGCAGGACTGTCTTGGCTTATTATGAATTATGCTCATCTAGTGTCTTAACTTTAAGATTACACACTTGATTATCAATAAACTTTTTAAACTTTAAGTTCATCGAGTTGTTGAACTTAAAGTTCAACAAGTTGATGAACTTTAAGAGATACAAGTGTGTGTGTGTGTGTGTGTGTGTGTGTGTGTGTGTGTGTTTATGTGTCATGTGTTAGTAAGACCATTCGTTACTTATAATGTTACAGTAAGATTAATGATAAACTAAGAAACAATCACAAAGTTAGATTTTATTACGTGATTAATTAGTTATTCAGTTAGAGTAATTTTCCTCCGACTGGCCTCCAAACTTTGTATTGGTCAGATATTTTAGTTAACTTATTTTAATTTTTAAGTCAATTATCTTTGTCAATATAAAAAATATTTGGTTTTTTTACAGTTGTACTGTTTTCAGATAAATAAATATTTTTATTTTCTATGTAGGTATAAAAATCCTTCTTAACCATTTTTTTAGAATTTTTTTGCATTCTGGCAGTAGTTTACACCTTAGGAAATGTTGGTATATTCACGCTATACATACATGGCCGTCAAGGGAGCCATGGCCTACCCTTTTTTTTTTGCGATGATCTTTTTTCTTAGAAATATAGGCAATTATTTTAGAAATTATGGATTTTATTTTAGAAATTGAGGGGTTGACCCCCTCCACTTTGAAGGCCGTGTCGAGACTATTAGCATAAGACTATTTAAATCACGCTTTAAGTAAAAAATCACTATTTTGGTCTATAAAATGAAAACTGTACATGTACCAATAAAATAATTATAACAAAAATTGTTGGTATTTTTTTTTTTTTTTTTATTATGTTGATTTTAGGTGCCCCAAGAAGTCCTTACGGTCTTATCACAGAGCACCGCGGAAGAGCATTTAATAGGAAGTTCACGCCTCTTTCCCAACCGATGTCGCAAAACTTGCCCAGATGTGGGGTTTGAACCACAGATCTTACGTTTCTGAGGCAAGTGTGCTACCACTGCGCCATGGCTGCATACATAGAATATTTTATTTATTAATTGTAAAACAAATTAATATGTGCAACAAATTAATTGTAAAACAAATTAATATGTAATAAAACAAATTAATATGTGCTACCACTGCGCCACGGCTGCATACATAGAATATATACATAGGTATTACATAGAAGAACACTGATGTAACCGTTATTTTAAAAATAGTGACCAAATTTCAAAGTAATCGGTAACGCTTTGAGGTATAAGTAGCAAAAAACTGACAAAACTTTAACTAAAACTGCAATAAATCCTACACCAGTCATCCAATCAGGCTGAAATTTCGCCCAGAGTTTGGTGTGACTATTGGCTACATTTGCACCAATTTTTATCAAATTATATTAAGTGGTTCAAATTCTACAAGTGTTTTTATTGGCGCACTATGAAGTCAAAATTTGACTTAATTTGAACATTCAAATTAAATTATTTTCTGCAAAAAAAAATCACAGGGTACCTTGATGTGTACGCTAACTTTCCGTATGAGTGGCGTTCTTGGGACAGCTAGGTAGGCATTATAAGGATCCGTGCTAACCGTGTTATGCCTATTTTAATTATTTAGCCAGTAAAATTTTAATTATTAAACCAATAAAAATATCGTTTCACTGCGTTTCCGCAGTAAAACAAAAACCATTTTATTAAAAAAAGTTTATTATTTACCGAGTTACGGGCGCGTTATTATTAGCCCGCCTTCTTGGACTCCATACAACGAATTTTTTTAAAATTTTTTTGAATCAATTTTTTTTTTGAATCAAATTTTCCTTTTTTGAATTAAGGTAGAATGCAAGAAGCGAACTTGAGTCAAGCTTGACTTAAACTTTACATTGCAATCAATAGCGACAGAGTGTGGGTTTTCCCCTCAAAAAATACTCTGCCGCTATTGGTTACAAAGTAAAGTTCAAGTCGAACTTGACTCAAGTTTGCTTCTTGCATTCCACCCTTCGAGTCTTAGGTATGAAATATTCCCGAAAATGCTAAAGTAGACTATGTAAAGTTTAAATTATGCTGTAAAAAAATATAATTTATGTTTGATTTCATTTGTTTGCTCAAAAAATAACTATTTTTTAAGGTTGAAGGTATTTTTACTAATATACTTTAAATAAGATAAAATGATTAACTTCAAGTACGGGGCTGGATGATAAGACTCTTGTCTTCTGCCTGCTCCTGTCATATCTTAACTCAAACAGAATATATCGTAAATAATTTATTATTAGTATGACGAATATATATATATATATAAAAAAGTATACATGCGGTAGTGGTGTAGTTGAGCTCTTGCCTTTTAAGCAAAAAACTCAGAATTCGATTATCGCGGTCAATTTGTTTCTTTGCGCATCGGCCTTCTCTTATTTTATATCCATGTGTGTAAAAATACTTTTAAAACTATTTTAACAGTAAAACCATATCTGTTAGTTTAAACAATATCATTAGGAAAACGCGTTTGAAAAATAGATTTTTTTACTTTGGCATCAACGCAAGCGTTAAACCTCGGACCTCATGGTCTGAACCAGATTTCTAACCACTGTGCCACAGCTACGTGTATATATTTATGTTAGGAAAGTGAAGGGCTAAATTTATTAAAATTCTCATTGTGTTCTCCTACAGAAAAACCGGGACAATGGCAAGTATAGCCCAACCATAATTCAGCAACTAGCCGAATTATGGTTGAGTGTAGACCAAAGGTTTTGTGTTCTACATGTGCTTAGACTCCCCTCTTAAATTTTTTAAAAGCAATGTCTGCCACAGACGATGTATGGCACAAACACGGTGCACATTTTTGAATAACTTATATGTCAGAGGGCTAGCCATACGCAGCGT